CTTTTGTGTTCAGTAAACCTGTGTTTTTTCTGCTATTAATAAATATGCAGTGTAAAAAAGAAAAACCAACAAAAAAAAATTGATTGCTTAACCCCTTGATGGCGACGGCACACAAATATGTGGCCTCACGGAACTGGGCTTTTTTCCGTGGGGCAGCATATTTGCGTACCTGTCTTTGTGCTGGAAGCGCCACTCGGCGCGCTCCCAGCACAGAGACCGCGGTGTCACTGAGAGCCCAGGGTCCCGTTCTAACGATCAGGACCCGGGACTCCCGATTCCGGGTCACGTGATCGCTGTAATAGCCTCTGATTGGCTATCACAGTGATCAGTCACTGTGCAGCCCAGCCCCCTTGTTTTCTCTCTCTCTATGAATGGAGAAGAGAGATACATTGTATCTCTCTAACTCCTGACATAGAGAGATAAAAAAAAAATGTTTGTTTTAAAAAAAAAAGAAAAAAGAAGATATATAAATATTAAAAAATAAAAGAAAAAATAAAGAAAAATACCTAGATTAAGGTTTGATCTAGTTCAGTACCAGGGTTAGTGTTTGAGTCAAAGGTCAAAGTTCAGGATTTAAAAAAAAAATGGAATCAGTGTCAGTTAGTGTTATTGTCAGTGTCAGTGTGTTTTAAATAAAAAAAAAAAAAGACAAAAACAAAATGCGCACTATTGTTTCTGGGCTGTACTACGGGTACAAACAACAAATAACATACACATATATGGTATTTCTGCAATCATCAAGAGCTGTAGAATTTATTTTGGGTTGTTCTATGGAGGTAGGTTATGGTCGTAAGAAGAAACACACAGCTAAATTAAAAAAAAATTTTTTTTTTACTATTTTGGGACAGTTTTCCTTTGATAATAAAAAAAAATTAGGAGCTATCCATTACCATTTACAACCAAATGAAAGCCCAATTTGTCCTGAAAAAAAACAAGGTATAATTCACCTGGATGTACAAAGTAGTTGTGATGATATGTTATGTACGGTTTTACTAACACATGTCAACGTTGCAAAATTGTGCTTAGGCATTTAGATTTGTTTTACCCTTAGGTGTGAAGGGGTTAATATACAGTTTTTGACCGAAGTGTGGATTATTTTATTTTGTTAAATGAATTTACCTATTCACCTGGAAACTTATTCTCAAGGTGCTGCACCAAAAGATGAACCCCTTGGGGGATGTAAAAAGGATTGGTTCCAGATTTCAATATGAGAATATACAAGTTGGGACACAAGTAAACTCTGTATAATAACAGAATGCAAATATTTGCAAATCTCATAAACCCATATTTTATTTACAATAGAACATAGAAAACATATCAAATGCTTAAACTAAGAAAATGTACCATATTAAGAAAAAGTAAGGTAACTTTGAAATTGATGGCATCAACATGTCTCAAAGAAAAAGTTGGGACGGAGTCACATTTACAACTGTATAGCATCCCCTCTACCTTTGGCAACACTCTGTAAACGTCTGGGAAGGAGGAGGAGACCAGTTGCTGGAGCTTTGGGATAGGAAATGTATCCCATTCTTGCCTGATATAGGAAACTAACTGCTCAGCAGTCCTGGGTCTTCTTTGTGGAATTTTCAATTGGAGAAAGGTCTGAACTGCAGACAGGCCAGTTAAGTACTCAGACTCTTCTACTATGAAGCTGTGCTGTTGTCATAGATGCAGTGGTTTAGCATTGCCCTGCTGAAATATGCAAGGTCTTCCCTGAAAAAGACATTGTCTGGATGGGAGCATATGCTGCTCTAAAACCTGGATATATCTTTTAGCATTGATGGTGCCAGAAGGGCAAGCTGCCCGTTCTATACACACTAATGCACCCCCATAACATCAGAGATGCAGGCTTTTGAACTGAGTGCTAATAAGAAGCTGAAATGTCCCTCTCCTCTTTAGTCTGGAGGACGCAGTGCCCATGGTTGCCAAAAAGAAAGTCAAATTTTGATTTGTCTGACCAGTGAACACTTTCCACTTTACAACAGATCATTTTAAGCTCTGGTGGAGCTCTGCACAGATACCAATCAGCTTCCAAGGTTTATTGTCAAAGCCTAAATGAACAAGCTGAAATTAGAAGCTGATTGGCTACCATGCACAGCTGCACCAGATTCTGTGTGCACCAGTTTTGGTAAATCTCCCCCCTTGAGTATTCTGCGCACATGCTGAGCTATTATGGGCCTGCAGTGTAACATAATTTGAGAAGAAGGCTCGCTATATAACACTGGCGCTTGGTGTATTGGTATGTGGTAGTTCCTAATGCAATGAATTAGACATCATGAAAGCAATCATCTGGGGATAATATTTACCCTGAGAGTCGCTGTACTGTATATTTGACAACTAAGCAGGACTGCTCTTTCCAAACCATCAACACAGTTGGGATTTTTTTCCCTATTTATAGGCATGTACACTTTTTTGACCCACTTTTACCCTCAGTTCAGAGACAGGATGGCTCTTGGTGACATTCTCAGAAAACTAGACCAGTGTTAATGTATAGGTAAAATATTGGTGCAGTGATCTTGAAGAAATCCCTGTAATAGCTAAAACCCTTTTTAATATATGAAATATTATATATGATGGATGATATTTCTTCACTGTAGGTTTTTTGAGTATAGAATGAAGATCCAGAGGGCAGTATATTTTTAAATTTATGTATTAAAGTTATTAATTTGTCTGTGTGTTTTTAGATTATAAATGTCCTAAAATAGATCACTGGTTGATGTTTATTATTCATACATAATGATACAAGTTGATAATGGTCGATCTGTTGTAGTCTCATAATAGTGAAACAAAATACTTTTTTTATTTTGTCCATCCTGTTCAACGTGTGTGTGTGTGTGTGTGTGTGTGTGTGTGTTTATGATGCTACAAATATGAATATCCCTGTACATTTGTTAAGATATCTACAGTTTTTCATTTTATCTACCACTAACCATGGAAAGGAGTTCCACATCTTTACCAACAGTAAAAACACCCTTACAAGTGTTAAGACTGTACCACATCTCAATCAACTTCGTTGTGTGGCCACGTGTCTCCTTACGAGGCCTTAGATTGAATAATTTTCTGTCAATGATACAATCACCATTTAAAGATTTATGTATTGCGATCTTATCCCCCCTTAAGTGCCTCTGCAACAGGGAGAATTTTTACCATCATTTCTCATTACTGAGGTCCTCCAGCCCCCCCCTATTAAAGTTTTGTTGCCCTTCTCTGGATGTCCCTTCAAGGACATCCTTCCTGAAGATTGGTGACGAAAACTGGACTGCATAATAAAGATGCAGCTGGACCAGAGTTATGGTAAATGGTAGAATTGTAATTTTATCTCAAGTAAATACCCTTTTAAATGCATGCTAATATTCTGCTAGCCTTGCTTACTGCAGTTTGGCATTGCATGTTACTGCTGAGTCTGATCTACAAGGATCCCCAGATTCTTTCCCATTCTCAGTTCCTCCAGACGTTCTCCCCCTAACGGGTACGGTTGTACCTTGCATGGATATTTTTAGCTCCCAAGTGCATTACTTTACATTTTTTAGTATTAAACCTCATCTGTCATATATTGTAGTTGCCCCCCTCTATTTTATAGAAGTTTTTCTGTAAAGTTGCTATATCCTATTGCATAGTTATTGTCTTTCTTCGTATCATCAGCAAACACTAGGACTGAACAATATAGCTTCTATTTAGCACACTGATCACAACTCTAAACCATTCAGAAAATATGCCAATAATCGCCGCTCTCTTTGTGGGGCACTGTATCAAATCTAAATAAACTATGGAATCCTCTCTCCAAATTATAGCTCACCTGATAAAATGTTTAAAGGTTGGTCTGACGAGAACAATCTTTCATAAATCCATAAATTGGATATTGGTACCATGTTTTCATTTTGCCAATCTGTTGGCACCATTCCATTCAGTAAGCTGTATTATAGATTAGGAACTGGCCTGGCTATAAGATGGCTAAGTTCTTTGAGAACTCTTTGGTGTAAGCCATCTGGTCCTGGTGATTTACTAACATTAAGTATTTCCAGTCTTTTTTGAACACAGGTTTCTGTCAGTCACAACGATACAATCAATATAATGTTATTAACAATAATGTTGTTGTTTATTATACCCCTCCTTTTCGTTCATATAAACTGAGAAGAAGAATATATTTATTACAGTGGCCTTCTCTCTATCACTTGTGATCAATGCCCCTTGATCATCTTTTATGGGGCTAATATGTTCTGATCTAGCCTTTCTTACTATAAATATATTTGACTTTTTTTTTTAGATATGTCTCCCATAATCTATTTTAGCTTCTCTGATTATGCTCTTAAATTCCTATTGTATTCTTTGTAGTTTTGGAATGCTAATGGTAATCTTTCAGTCTTTTATTTTTTCAGAGACAACCTTTTCTCATTATTATGCCTTTTTTCCCTAGTATTTCGCCACCCATGTTTTACTTTTGTTCTTTCTTATTTGTTGTACAGTTGAATCCACTGATGAATGTTGTTGTGTAATATGTCCTTAAAATACTCCCACTTTTCTTCAGTCTTCTTTAGTGCAAGAATTTGATCCCTTTTAGTAGCACACTGTAGAGTGCAGCTTAGTAAAGCTGGCTCATTTTAACCACTTGCCTTCCAGAAGATTTACCCGCCTTCCTGACCAGGCCATTTTTTGCGATACGGCGCTGCGCTACTATAACTGACAATTGCGCGGTCATGCAATGCTGCACCCAAATTAAATTTATGTCCTTTGATTACCTCTGCATTTTTTATCTTTTGTGCCATAAACATAAAACTGACAATTTTGAGAAAAAAAAAACAATATTTTTTTTACTTCTTGCTATAAAACATATTAGGTAAAACATTTAAAAAAAATAAAATTTCATCATAAATTTAGGCCAAAATGTACTCCATGTAATACATGTAAATTAATTGGTTTACGTGAATGTTATAGTGTCTACAAACGGTGGTATATATACTAGAATTTGTATTATTTTTCTTTTATACTAGTAATGGTGGCGATCAGCGACTTATAGCGGGACTGTGGGACGGCAGCTGGCATTCTGACACTGGGGGAGGAACTGACTAATTGCCACTGACATTCCTAGCTACACTAATACAGCAATCAGTGCTAATAAAAAGCACTGACACTGTACTAATGACACTGAGCAGGAAGGGGTTAACATCTGGGGTGATCAAAGGGTTAACTGTGTGCTGTTTTATTATATAAGCATGCTGCTTTGTATTGCTCTGCTATGCAGAGCAATGCAAAGCAGCATGCTGGTCCTGACAGGGGAGAGATATGTATTGTTACGTACAGACCTCTCCCCTGTCAGTGTTTCTTGGCAGTCGCTGGGTGTCGGCGGGGAATCTCTGGCCAGAACCCAGAGATTTACAGCTATAGCCGTCAATGGCGGCACGGGTAGGGTGGCATGCGCACCCTCTACCAGGAATACAAAATCACATATATATGCGTTAATTTGTGCAGACCTGCCTCCCTGTAGCAGTAGTTCTGCTATAGGGCAGTCGGGAAGAGGTTACATTTTGTGTTTTTGTCCTCATTTGTCTCATTTTCCTATAATTCACAGTAAACCTATGTAATCTGGGATCACTGAAATTAGTAGGTCCAGCAGCAGCAGAGCATTATTTCTAGAGGGTTTCCACTTCATGTGCACATGTTGGGCCCTAGGCAAATATGAGATAATATCTCATGTATAAATTGCCAGTTACCTCTATCAGAGGCTTTTTCAGCGTCTGTGGAAATAGTAATAATGGGGCTTTGGTCTGCTTCATGTAATGAATTAAGCTATGGTTCTGAGTGTATTGCAACTAGCATCTCTGTTGGGGACAAACCCCACTTGATCAGAATGAATAAGGGCAGACAGGAATGGTGATGTTAGATTTGCTAGGATTTTGGTGAAAAAAAAATTACATTTAGTAGTGTAGTGGGGAAATAGAACAATTATTGCTGTTTCCCTTTCTTGTGGATTTTAGGGATGTGCACTGACAGTGTACCTTTTGGCAAAGGTCTGCCTTGAAATAGTGCATTAAATGCCTTTTAAATTTGGGGATAAGGGTATGCTTAGAAGTTTTGTAGTTTGAGAAGGTAAAGCCATCAGGGCCTGGGGCCTTACCAGCTTTCACTGAGTATATGGTGATCTCAACCTCCTCAGCAGAGACAGAGGACTCCAAGCAGCACTTTTTGCAGGTGTCAGAAAGGAAAGAAAATGGGATGGAAAGTGTCTGCTATATCTAAGGGGGTATTGGATGTTCCTTTTTGCATCCTATGTGTGAGATGTAATTTTCAATATTGTTCCTTTGAGACCTGCCTGGTTTGCTACAGTGTTTGTAGTAGATTCTCTTGCATCTAGTCAATTGTGCTTTGACCTCTCCTATAAAAATGTCCTTGAGCTTATCTCCGAGCATCTTCATTTCTGTGGTCATGGCTTTGTTTTTGAGTACTTTCAGGATATTTTATTTTCTCTAACAGGAAATCTATAATTGCTTTTTTTTTTGTTTTTTTTGCATTGGGAGGATAAGTGAACTTCGTGAAGAGCACTTGTGTGTTTCCCAAAAATGTAAAAGGTTATTTTCGGTCTGATCATTTTCAAGAACAAAAAAAGTCATGCTCCTTGTGTATGACATCTCTTAAGTTCAATTCAGTAGTCAAGGATTTTTTGATCACCAAAGTTTAAGCCCCATACACATGTGACGGATATCAGGCGGTATTGGCTAGTTCAACAGGAACCGGCCGACATTTGGCCCGTGTGTACGGCAGCCAGTCCAACAGAAACTGGACATTTTCCTACTTAAGCCAAAGGGGCATGACTGAAAAAGGTCTGCCAACTGGCTTCCGATCAGTGCTCTCAGCCATGTATTCTGGAGGGAGGGGGGCAGTCCCCCTGTCAGAACACAATAACAAAGCGGGGAATATTGCTGTACAAACACCGATTGTGTTAGTACAGCGATCTGTCGGGTTTTTTTTTAGTTCAGCCTGCTGGGCTGAACGTAAAAAAGCCTTGCAGTTTGTATGAGGCATTAGGAAACAAGAGGTGGGGTATTATCTTATAAGGAAATGATCTGTATAGAGTATAGAGGAGTTGTTGAGACTGGGAAGATGTGACTTTACACAGATATCCTTCGATCAGGGTCAAAGTTTGAAGGGTCTTTTAAAGTCTGCAGAGTTTGGTGTAGAATATATGAGAGAACCCTCACCCCCCCCCCCCCCCGGAGTGTCTACAGAAAAGTTAGGATCCCCACCCATAATGTAAACACATTCTTGCAGGAGAATTATCTTGCCAAGGTAAGCTTCCAAGGCCATAACCTGATTTTTACTGTGAAGGTATAAACACTGCTCAAAAAAATCAAAGGAACACTTTTTAATCAGAGTATAGCATCAAGACAATTAAACTCCTGGGATATTGATCTGGTCAGTTAAGTAGTAGAGGGGGTTGTTATTCAGTTTCAGCAGCTTTGGTATTAATGAAATTAAAACAGGTGCACTAGATGGGCAACAATGAGACAACCCTCAAAACAGGAACGGTTTTACAGGTGAGGACCACTGATATTTGTTTCCCTACTCATCTTTTCTGACTGTTTTTCACTAGTTTTGCATTTGGCTAGGGTCAGTGTCACTGCTGGCAGCATGAGGTGATACCTGGACCCTCCAGAGGTTGCACAGTCAATCCAGCTCCTCCAGGATGGCACATCAATATGTGCCATTGCCAGAAGGTTTGCTGTGTCTCCCAGCACAGTCCCATGACCATGGAAGAGATTTCAAGAGACAGACAGTTACTCTAGGAGAGCTGGAGAAGGCCGTAGAAGGTCCTTAATCTATCAGCAGGACCGGTATCTGCTCCTTTATGCAAGGAGGAACAGAATGAACACTGCCAGGGCCCTACAAAATGACCTCCAGCATGCTACTGGTGTGAATGTCTCTGACCAGACAATCAGAAACAGACTTCACGAGGGTGGCCTGAGGGCCCAAAGTCCTCTACTGGGCTCTGTGCTCACTGCCCGGCAAAATAGAGCTTGATTGACATTTGCCATTGAACACCAGAATTGGTAGGTCCGCCACTGGCACCCTGTACTTTTCACAGATGAGAGCAGGTTCACATGTGACAGATGTGAAAGGGTCTAGAGAAGCCACGGAGAACGTTATGCTGCCTGCAACATTGTTCAGTATGACCGTTTTGGTGGTGGGTCAGTGATGGTCTGAGGAGGCATATCCATGAAGGGATGCACAGACCTCTACAGGCTAGATAATGGCACCCTGACTGCCATTAGGTGTTGGGATGAAATCCTTGGACCTATTGTCAGACCGCACGTTGGTGCAGTGGGTCCTGGGTTCCTCCTGGTGAATGAGAATGCCTGGCCTCATGTGGCGAGAGTATGTAGGCAATTCCTGGAGGATGAAGTAATTGATACCATTGAATGGCCCCTACACTTGCCTGACCTAAATCCAATAGAACACATCTGGGATATCATGTTTTGGTCCATCCAACGCCGCCAGGTTACACCTCAGACTGTCCAGGAGCTCAGTGATGACCTGGTCCAGATCTGGAAGGAAATACCCCAGGACACCATCTGTCATCTCATTAGGAGCATGCCCCAGCATTGTCAGGTATGCATACAAGATGTGGGGGCCAAACAAACTACTGAGTACCATTTTGAATTGCTGCAATGAAATTTCAGCAAAATAGACTAGCCTGCTGCATCATTTTTTCACTTTGAATTTCGGGTGTCTTTGAATTCAGTCCTCTGTAGGTTGATAATTTTCATTTCCATCAAACGATGGGGCATCCTTATGTTCCTAATACATTACCCAGTCCATATCAGTATAGATATCCAGCATGATATTTTCCCCCATTGATGTATTTTCAAAGTGTTCCTTTAATTTTTTTGAGCAGTGTATTAACCAGTGTGCAGTCTCAGGTTCTGCCTTTTATTAGGAGTAATTAAATGTCTGATATCTCTCCCAGAGGTTGCCAAGGGACAAGTCTAGACATTGGAATGCTAACTCCTTTGGATTTATCTTAAGGGGAGAGGCAGAGGTAGGAAACTAGGTAGTAGTGATTTGACAATTAGGTAATTTTGTGAGCAGTGAAATGTTTCCTGAATAAACTAAATATACAATTTCATTTACCAGAGGTCATTTGTGTGGACCTATTCGCTGGGGTATTTAACCCCTTAACATTGCAGGAGGTAAAATTGAACTCCAACATGATGCATGAGTCTAGGTAGGTGAAAAGAGGTTGAGTAGAATAAGTGATTGATCTGCATCCACTAAGTCCCCCACCACAGGAAGAGTGAGGGAAAAGGGGAAGGGGTGTTGGGTCAGTTAGGTTGGAAGATGTTAGGCAGCCTTCCAGCTTCTCCCATCAGCTGAGGGTTAATGAGTCCTCTCAGACTCCTAGCTGCTCCCATCAGCTGCAGGGTAACAATTTGGCAATACACTCCCTAGTTGGATTGGTCCTCAGTAGGCACCATATTTAATCCTGCCTGTGCCTCTGTGCTTGTGATAGTGTAAGCTTCCTGGTTCCCTGTCTGTTTCCTTGTCTGACCCAGCTTTGCTAATATCTTTTCCAACCTTTGCCTTGTACACTCATTACTCTTTGGATCGCCACCTGAACTTGACCTTGGACTGTTAACTGTACTTCACTTGCTTGCTACCAGACCTGACCTTGGAACTGTTTTCAGATTATGTATTCTCACTTCCTGCAGAGAGCATGAACAGTCCAAGGATACCAGTACCAGCCACTGTCTCCTGCCTAACCAGGCTCAGTGCTAGTGGTACTGTTCCTTGTCTCAGTCGCTCAATCTCAGTATCCTCTAGCCAGCAAATTTAGCATTGTGTTCTAATACCTGGGGGCAACCAAGTACCACTAGGCCTGCTTGCCTTATGCGAATGGGGGCTGCTATTGGCAGAAAAAACAACAGGCAGCTATAGTTCCTGAGCTAAACATCATGCCGTGCATTACATAAGAGGGGTACTAAGTACAGGCAAAACTATGCCATGTAAGTTAGAGGGCCACCAAAATTCTAAATATTAAGGAGGAAGGAGAAGGGGAAAATGGGGGACAACAGAAATGGTGTGAGATGCTAGTACCTCAACTACTCCCCCATATACAGTAGTGGTAAAGAGATGAGCAATGCTCGGGGGTAAAATATTACTGTGTTTTATGAAAATAAAAGATTCCTGTTTAGGCAAGGATTAACAGATAAAGAATCTGCATACTCAGTAAATGATTAAACTGAAAGTGCCTAAAGAACTAAGGGGTTATTAT